AAATATAAAAACACCAGTTGTAATGAGTCTCGATATTTTTATCTCAACTCTAGGTTCTCACTCGTGACATTATTTTCATGATAAATAGAACACATTAGCTCGAGAAAATATTTTCCAGTCCAATTATTCCGACTCAAGCCGCGGAATCATAAAAGTCAGATTTTATAATAAATTGCGTGTCGCGCATTCATTGGGTTACATCAATTATCTCACTTCATGATCTGGATTAAAGTGCCCCCTCCGCCATAAAATAATTATCTCTATGATAGTTTGAGCATTCGATACGGGGAGACGGGAATTTTTCCTAGAAGTATCATCCGTACGAGGTCTTAACAATTTCTGCAATTATTCTTCTCCATGCGGATCTCTCTCCCTGATGTCCGTTGGTATTTTTTTTTTTTTTTTCCCAATCCTCGGACATGATTCAACTAATTTTCACGTGAACAATTCAGTCTCTCTGGCCATATGTGCGTTTCAAATTGTCTGCTATCAAAAGACAACAAGGAGCGGTCGCCCACACGCATCGAGTGAAACGCGGCCACTCAAGTCACATGGATTTTATATACGTATTATTTACGTACATACTGGGTTGGACAAAATGAGTGACTTTACGATCTACTGTTGGGGTGGATTATACAGTGGTATGGATAAGCGTCGAGAGATAGGTGACGTGGCTTTTTATTGCTATTGTCTATTGTCAGTGGTACGTCAATGTATCATTCAAAGAATGTGACCGCACTTTCAACTCTTGATATTCACAATAAATATTATTAAACAATTAAACCCGATCTTCAACTCGTTTCTCCCCCAATAATTTTTATTTCAATTTTTATTCCATCCATTACATTATTTATAATCCATTATCCTCCAAATAATTTCAACGTTATAATAATTAATATAAAATTATAAAACATATAATTATTATTATCATTGAATAGTAATTTGCAGATGCAAATTTTTAATATCATTTACAGAATAAATACAAACACTGCAGTTACCGAGTCATTACCGTGTGGTAATTATTCCCAATAATATCCGACGACATGGAAAAATGTCTTGGGTCATGTGTTCTGCGTTATCACTGACGATAAAACCCGAAAACTTTAATTTAATATCATCCCCACCCCTCAGCACACGTGTAAACATTCACCGAGTAAAGTGCATCAATAAACTGTAATAAAATACAATACAACAATCTCTATATAATCTCCTGAAATCCCGTGGACAAATAACCCGCGGTTTTCTCGATATTTTGCTCCCCTTTATTATCTCCCGGCAATCCTAACACGTTCTCCACGCACAATGTGAAATAAAAAAGGAAAAAAGTCCCCCGAGATGATAAAAAATAAACGGCTAGATATCGAATAATAAGAGAAATAATAAAAGTACGTGGAGACGTTAAAAAATATCGCCCACACGTATTTCGCCTCCTAGTGCAACTTCAAGAGCAATAAAGTTGGCATTGCGATTGCCATTGCATTTGCGTCTATTATCTACCACTGGTCTCCAACAATTTTCCACCACCACTGATATACGATGACTTTTACACTATTTATTTATCGATCTGAATTTGTTAGACGGATGATGAAACGAGTCGTGGGTATTTCAATGGAATTTCTTTGTCATTACTTTTTATTGCAAATGGATAAACAATTCCGGTATAGTCAGGGTGATTGTCATCGAGTACTCGAGGCTGAGGGGCTGATAAATTTTCGATTAAAAAATTGTCTCGGTGCGAGTGAGTGAATGAATAATAAAAAAAGAGGAGAATGAAGCGATTTGTTATAGTCTAGCTGCAGCTTGGGAATTGACCTCGGGATCTGTGAAGGAATATTTTAAAAAATGGAGTCCTCTTCCTGATTCATACGATGGGAGATTGAAAGGAATTGATTGGAAGGGGAATCTTCTAGATTCTTTACAGACCAATGATCATTTTAAACACAAGTGTCATGGCGGTTACACGTGAGAGTTTCCATTGTTCCACATATCTGTGCAATTGTTGTAATTCTTCATTAATTAATTTTAACAAAATAATTCGTTTACACTCGATTCAAGATTTTTATTTGTTAAATTACTCGATCGAATCGTCACACTAAATTTTTAAAAATAATTATTCAATGAAGAGTTAAATAATAAAAAATAACTTGTTATAAATTGAAATATGAAGAGTAATGGAATAATAAAAAATCGGCATGAATAAACGAATTGTTCTATTATCACAGAAAAAGACAAACGATGTCAATTTTTTATAAACCGATAAAATCGAATATAAATGTTGAAAATACCAGTGCTTGATACACGAAAGTACCAGTTTAAATCGTGATAGTAATCGTCGCGAGTTTATCCACTGGTTCAAGTTGTTGATCAATGTAACGGATCGTATAATATGCGAGTGATCGTGTACCGGTGTACGAAAAACAGTTTGACATGTTACCAAGAGGCTAGAAATTATTTGTTTAAAAAAAATCGGTAATTTACATCGAGAGAGGGGATACACGTGGTGGATGGGGCGAGGAAAATAGTCGGTGGATAAATATTCAACCGGTACATCTTAATAGGTAGGCATAAAGAAATTGAACATAATGAAAATAAAAGATAAAATTATCACCATCACCGGTTAATCTTAATGAAAGGGGAAAAAGTTGTTGGAGAATTTTTTCAATTTGATTTTTAATAAATCGGAGGGTCGTGGGCCTTGAACCCCTTTGGGTCGATGAACTCCTGGAGATGCTTTGGGTTTGAGATATACCGCCATGTTGAATCGCTCTAGTTACCGGCTCTCTTGTCCAATCCAAATGGCCGTTACGTTCTTATCCACATTTTCTTGCGCTGATCGTGGCCGATTCAGCTTCGATCGGTTACATAGTACAACCGTTGGGGAAACTTAACGATCCTCAGACCATCTAAACTGTCCCATTTAACGCGCGTCAATTCGATGGGGGAAAACCAGACAAATGTCCTCTTTGTCAGGGATTTCCATTTTTTGTTAACGATCCCAGAATTGTGCAATTGCAAAAAATAACTTGATACTTTAATGTGAGAAACAAAGTTCGAGGTTTTTATATTTTATGCAGCTACAATTATCAAGTTAAATAAAATATTTAACAATTTATTGATTCGTTGAAAAAATTGTAACTAATTTGAAGTGTAATATTCCGAGAATATAAATAATATAAACATTGTTATCAATATTTTACAAAAATTTTTGATGATCAAATTTTTTGAATTCGATAATAATGGACTTTCTCATAATTTCATTAATAATTATATTCACAAATAATTATATTAACGGAATATTAAATTAAATTGATATAGATTGTTGCAAAAACGTAAAAAATTTGTTGCTGGAACGAATTAAATCGTGATTTCGAGACTGGGGTTTTAAAGGATCTCACGATATGTCACATCTCCCTCTCGTTTGGATTTACATCGATGTTGAGACCGGAATGGAAAAAAATCCCGGGGATATAAACGGCTTAGAGCGATATATTTCTGGCAGTCTCGTATATTTCTGGATGTTTGGACAAAGCTAACACCAACGAAACACCTGATATACCATAATCGCATCTAGCTGGTTTCACACTGTGCGAGGAGACACCGAAACGTTTAACATCTTCATGAGCCTCATCAGAAGACAGACCATCTAGCATCGTAAAACATACACGAGACTCGTACCTCGGAGTATATCATAAACTCTTGGAAACCTTTATCACCTCCCACCATAAATAACCGCGAAAATATCCCTATTTCCTATTTCGTCCACTACATTTTCAACTCGTTTACACTCTAAAAAATTTATTAACAATATTAACAATCAATGTTCACTTGAATTTTAATTCAAATCGATCCCCAAATTTCTCTTCATTTCAAAAATTCAAAAAATTCCAAAAATTCAAAAAAATCGGGGATTTAATTTCAAATAATCAAGTGCTCAATGTTTCACTCATAAATTTGTAACAAATATCTTGAATAATTAAAAATATCAGACATAAAATAATTCCCAATTTCTCTCAACGTGAAAAAAGAGATAAATACAGCGATTCCATCGCACAACTCTTCAATTCCCATCGTTGTCCGTTCCCCCTCAATTTAATCCCAATAAATCACATTGATTGCTCCATCGGATTAAAATCGAAATCACGAAACACATCTCTCAATATGTATCACTCTATTCCTCAGGGAATCAACTCTATCTCAACATTTCCCATAACCATCACCGAAAGCCGTCCAAACCCCTCGCCTTCCCCTTGCATTTCAGTTGAGAAAAGGCATAATCGTTTATTTCTCAGTGCTCGACCTTTTGCGATGCACTACGTCAAGATGTCAGAAATGCCCCGACCCCGCCTTGGCGTAGCGAAGATGCACTTGGGAACGTTGTAATGGGCTTACAAAGCGTAACAAACTGATGCGAGGTCAAGCACACGACGTGCAATAAACACACGCGCCAAGATAAACGGCCTCAAGCCCTCACTCCAATCATTTTTATTCTCATCCACATGAAAAAATAAATAAAATGAGATAAAAAATCAACAGGGGAAAGTGTTTTGGCTGCTCTGTGAACCGTGTAGTTGTACCCTGGGGGGGTGGCATCATACTCGTTCCAATCAAACAACTGGATAAACTAGAGGATGATTTTAATGATGACAGATATTGTTAACACATTTTATTGTACAGCTCTTAACAATACGTCAATTGCCAGTCTTATCCCCAAGAATTTTAATTCCCAGTTTGAACTTCAGTTTTAATTACAATTAAAAACACTCATCAATTTTCTGATTTAATAATTTAAAAATATTCAATATTTTTTATCCAGAATTCTCGGTTTTTTAATTTTTCCAGTGATTTTTTTAAATCGATTCATGAAAAATGGTGGATTAATTATAATAAATAATAAATTATATGGAATAGTATAATAAATTTATGTGTAATTTTATGAATTTAGGAAATAACGTTATTTAATGGGATTATATTTAAATGGATTATTATGGTTATATTTGCAGATGCCACAGACAGTTCCAACGGCCGCTGGCTTCTCGCCCTCATTCGACTACACGACCTTTCAATTTGATCTGTCCCTCTTACCCGACGACTACACCACGTCCATCACTCAGACAACCCTAAAACCAACTCAGATTAAACAAGAAGTACACTCACCGAGACCAGGATCACCAACGACTTATCCAAGTCCCCCATATCCCGGCCTGACTGGCCAATTGTCTCCAAATTATTCACGTGACGCATCACCTGGGTATCCAACCAGTCCATACTACGTACCACAGAGTCCACAGAGTGCACAATTGTATCCCACCAGTCCAGATCCAGTTAAACAGCCAGTGAAGAGAGAGAAGAGTCTTGATCTGCTAGCTATTCTCCATGAATCAAGGTAAAAAATCCTCCAAATCCTCCAAATCCTCAGTATCCCCCAAAAATTTTGCTTGAATCGAGATAAAGATTTGGTTTTTTTTTAAATAAAGTCCTATTTTCCTAGTGAGTTTTGTGATTTTGTAGTTAATTCTGCTTTAGAGAGATTTGGGGGAGAATAATTTATGAGAGATTTTGATGGGAAATCCTTGGAAATTTCGATTCCAGACTTTTAGCCGAAAGTCTTGGATACAAAGAGGACTCCACCGACTGCACAGTGCCCTGCACACCCCCTCGTACAGAAGAGGACATCTACAATACCCTGGACACAGATTTCTTTCCAAAACGAGAGGAATCCAATCCTCTACTCAAGGAGATCCTCTTCAAGGAGGAGCCCCGCTCAATCAGCTCCTCCCAATCGTCTTCACCAGCTCCAACAGACCTGGAACCATCACCACTCCGCACTCTCCTGTTCAAGGACAACCTGAAAGATTCGACACATCAAGAAAACTCGAAGAATCCTCCACTCATCCCCAAAATTGAGATTCAGGACGAGGAGACAATCGCTGGCCAGGGAATTGTCGATCCTCTCTGTCGAGAGGGGGAGATATTTAAGGATAATCAGAAGAACGATCATCAGCTCCTCAGGGAGGTCCTCAGGGACACCAGCTTCCAGAGGAAATATAATTTGAGACCTGTTGAACTCGGTGGTGTTGGCACTGGTTTCGTCGAGGATATGGACAGTAGTGAGTGCGTTGGAGATCTTGCACGTGAACAAATCGAACCCGTTCTCAGTCTAGCTATTCAACAACTCCAGAAAGACTTCGATAATACCTGCGTTGCACTTGGAATTCATCCCGGTAAGCTTCAAAATTAATATTAAATAACTCTCATCACCGACAATCAATACTCTGAATAGTCGAAATTTAAATCACGAGAAATTCCCGGGAAATTTCTCTCTTCACTATCGAATAATCCTATTTTTAATTTAATAATAATTTTGCCCGCCAGACTAAAAATGTCACTCCATGAAAATAAGTAATTAAATTGCCAATTTGTTAATTAAATTTGAATTACCAGAATTTTTAATGATCAAATCCATTAGGGGATAACAGATTTTTCAACGATCAATCGGTGATAAATAAAAATGATCATTTCTCCCCAATAAATAAATGATTACCCTATTTTTTATGAGCTCTCTCTCGATATAATCTATCTATTTTATCGATTCTCATTGGCCGACAGTGTGTCGCCTTGCCCGAGGCAATCTACCGTCAATCGCAACCGGTTCTCTCTCACACTATTGGCTCTATCGTCTCGATAATGACGTCACGTACGGAATAAATTACGAGAAAACGGCACAGCGCGTTGCCACGTCGATTACGAAATTTACTGATCGACGTTGTGACATTTGCCAAGGTCGTGGCCCTCCGAGAACATTTCCGGTACCCCGAGTGTTTCGATGATGAATCAAACCGATGACTTCGGTACAGGCTGACAGCAGCATTCCACTGGCGAATTAATCTGATAACGATTATTTATCTTGTGACATTTTCATTGAGCAATACGTGAAGTCTACATAATTTTTCTGTTGTATCTCAAATCAATAAACGGGGAGACCTAATTACCACCGATTTTCAAAGATTTAATTATTTTTTTGAAAAAAAATCGGTTGAACCGATCGTTATCATCGATTTCATGTTTAGTTCACTCGATTTTGGAAATCGGGGAAATCCCGGGGCCCGGGTTGAATACTTTTTGCGGATATTTTACAGGGGGTTGATTAATTAGTGGATGGAAATTAACGAAATCGATTGATTGTTGCAGAACCCCGTCGTTGGAGTGCAGCCGATGTTGCAGCCTGGGTTCAATGGGCTAGAAGACAACTCCAACTGCCGTCGGTGCCTCTGGACAGCTTTAATATCGATGGTGCAACCCTCGCCTCCCTCACGGAGGAGGAATTTTGTCAGAGAGCACCTCAGGTAATTATAAAATCGGCATCCTCACCTTCAATTCGATTAATTCAAACCAAAAAATCGTGTTGACTTATTTTAATTTGCTTTAAAATTCGCCAGAAGCGAATTGATTCAGTATTTCATTTCTTTAATCCTCGTAATGATTAATTAGTCAATAATTTCAGTAGTAATTAAAATCGCAGGCCAGTCAATTAATTCGTAAATTATTGCCGATTTAGGGAATTTATGGCGAGACGATTTTCCTATGAAAATCCACTTACCGCCGGGAAATTTTACCTGCAATCTCTATAATTACGCGAAAAACAATTTCCAGAGTTGAAACCCTGGCGCAATTAATACTTTCATTGAACTCTGGTCTGAGGCTAACGGTACGCTGTCTGCGTCATCACTTATTCAATTCCGTGGAATTACTGGATTTTAAAACCAAAAGTCACAAGATTCGAGAATCAGTGACCGCTCGATTGCGATATAGCGGTGAAAAAAAATTGTTTGGGCGGTGGGGGCATCAGGAAAGTCCGGTGAAAGTGAATTTCTCGGAAATCCATGTGCGCACTTGAACCGGTGGTTTTCTTTCCTGCATTAAATATATAGCGTGATACATTCAAAAGAGAGTGGGAGGTGAACATAATCGAGAATTTTTAAAATCGAGAGTGAAATATCGGAGGTATTTTGGAATTTTAAATTGAGACATTTTTACCGCCAGTTGAAATTTGTTATGGCCCAATGATGATCACGACAATAAAATTCTAGATAAATTCTTTCTGTCTGAAAAATATAGGTTTCAATAATGTCTTGCCTCCGTATTTGTTCTTAATGTTTATTGTTTTTATTTTTTCATTCATTGAAACGATCAAATATCAATTTATCGAAATATTGTCATGTGATTACTCACGTGGAAGAAATCATCGTCATTGACGCACATGATAAAAAAATAATCCAAATTTATGATTCCCAAAACGAAAAACCATTCATTCAAAGAAAACTGTTTGATATCAATAAATCAATAATTCATATTACAGAAGTAGAATAGAAAACCTGAAATAAACCGAATGGAATTACGAAAAACGCATAAATAATTACGTCTCGATGATTTTATTATTCTGAATTTCTCTTGAAATAGGAAAACTGCCAATAAAATAGAGAATTCAGAATTCATTAGTCTCGAATTATCCCAGTCTCCTAGATTTAGAAGCTGGAATTTATTTTCATCAGGTCTCGATATTATTTCCTCGTATCCCCTAACCTTCATCAAGTTCGAAAGTAAAATAAATCACAGATACAGTTCTACCTGACAGAAATCTAAAATAACCGGCATTCATCATTATTCCTCGTATTCCAATTAGAGTTCTTTATTCATTGCAAATATCCCCCAACAAAAAGTGCATAATCACTCGCAGCAATTTGTCATAAGATAAAAAAAAGATAAAAATTCTAATCTCCATTAAATTTATTATTCTTTGAAAATGGAGTTAATCTCCAAAATAAAGAATTGCCGATTGATTTCAAAGTTTCTCTTAGAAATAATCTAAAAAATATATCTTTAAAATAAAAAAGAGAAATCGACGAAACCGATTCCCGAAGTATTCAATAAAATTCCAATAAAAATCCCTCGAGTCGACAAATTAAACTCTATCAAAACCAAAACCCCGAATATTATTCCCGACTATTTATCCAGCTTTCGACTCCTGCATCTGCCAACGGCAATATTATCGCTGAATAGGATCTAAATCCAGGATTCTTTAAATGTCCGCAAACTCTATAAATACCCCGGGCATCTATTTCCAATCAGTCGGCCATTCATCATTCGATTTTGAAACAGCACTTCATACCCCACGTAACAAACACATCCCAGTTAATTTAAAATCCCACGGAGCAACAAAAAGATAAAAACGCAAAAAGAACCGAAGAAAAAAAAAAAAGAACAGTAAAGATCGTCAGGACAGCCGAAGAGATTGCGCATGCGCACTCGATCCAGTTGCGCGATCACGATCGATATATTTCCCCTCTGTCGCCCCTACCCCTCGGCATATTCACATTATTTTTTCCCTTATTCCCTCATTCCCAATGACTAAATGGCATTTCGTAACGCAGATGAACACGGCATTACAATTCCCCAGGATGCAGAAGTACTGAATCACGTGGTGCAATGGCGTCATGCAACATAAAATTTCAATATAACAGCATTTTCATCTCATGATCACCCATTTGTTAAGCGTGTATGTACAGGAATTTTCATGTGTTTACCCGATGGCGAGTCATCGTGCAATGATTTTTCACCACCACGAGGTGTTTTACCGATTGGTTATGGCCAACTGCCACAGAATACAACGAGCACTTTAGCCATTTGTATTGGTAAGACAAGTAGGTCATACCATCGTACTTGTTGCGTTGGCCGCTTTCTCTTTGGCGTACTTACCTTCATACTTACACCATGAGAATCATACCAAATTACTCATACCGTGAATTATATTTGTTTAGCCATTGAAAGGGGAAAGGAATATTATTAGCGAGATTCTTATCGGGTTTCGAGGGTCATGATAGGCGTTTGTAGTAGCCATTGTTTTATTTTTTATTTCAATTTTTATTCTGCCATTTGTGGATATTATTCTAGGCCTCAATGGAGCAATAATTATTCTGCTGATGTCATACGGACACGGGAAATTCCCCGGGATTAATTTATTAAAAAATTGTCTCACGGCATTCGCACTGGATACACCGGAAATTTTATTCGATCATGTTTGGTATTGATCCTGTGAATTTTTCCTCGTTTTTTGAATTTTTGGTGAATGATGCGAGGGAAATTTTCCTCGAATCGCGAATAAAAACGGAATTCAGAGGACTTTCTAAACATCTAGGTTTTATTCCCAAAACATCGGCATGTGTCTTGGAATTTTCTTTGGGATTTCTTTTCGCTTGATGAAGTATTAAGGCGGTTTTTCTTATTTGAATTTTAAGTAGCTTTCTATGAGTAGAAAGACAGGAATTCTACTTTATATTTTTAGCACTTCGGGTAATTGATTTTTCACTTTTATTTCAATTTTTATTGTTTCAGTGTGGGAGTATGTTGTATGCGCAATTGGAGATTTGGAAAGCTGCGGTTGAGGAGTCACCGAGGAATACGTTGGCCGCATCCTGGAGTCCACCTGGTGTTGTCCAGCCGACTAATAATGGAAATCTCAGTCCAGCTTCTTCGATGAGTGCTGGACCAGCTAGTGTCACAGCTTCATCTTGCAATTTGGATTATAGCGATGGTAATTTCCCCCTTTTAATTTCATTCAAAGAAATCAATTCAGGACTCGTTGCAAAGGACGATGACCTCCTATCACCTGACAATGCGAGAAATAATTAATATTTAATCAATGGATAATAATTTTGTGGGTGCAGATGAGGATGACGACTCGAGTCCAGTCCAAACTCCCACGAATGGTGGAAAAATGCGCAATGGAGGTTCCCATATTCATCTCTGGCAGTTCCTCAAGGAACTCTTGCAGAGCCCTGGACTCCATGGCTCGTGCATCCGCTGGCTGGACCGCACAAAGGGTGTATTCAAGATCGAGGACTCTGTCAGAGTCGCCAGACTCTGGGGCAAACGCAAAAATCGACCTGCCATGAACTACGATAAACTCAGCCGCAGCATCAGGCAGTACTACAAGAAGGGCATCATGAAGAAGACAGAACGCAGTCAGAGGTTAGTCTATCAGTTCTGTCATCCGTACAGTCTCTGAAACCATTCCGAATAAAATAAATCTCGATCTTAGTTCTCATGCAGAAATATTATGAATAAAAAATTCATAATAAACCGTAGAAAAAATCTAAAACGTAAAACCGAGTCGTTCATCATGTTTCATCATTTCGAAATTATTATCTTTTAGTCTAAAGTAATGTAATAGTAATCTCGATGGAATCAGTTAATCATTAAATATTTTTATTAATTATTGATAATGACTCGAGTAATTTTATCATTTTACTACGATTTATTTAAAATATAATTGCACACACAATGGAACTTTGATCGAGATAAGAGAAGACTCGGTGTTTCGGGTTCTTTCTGACGAAAGATCTCCGAAGTTATCGTGGGATTGTGTAAATTTTAGCGTGAATGACGAGTGAAATTCGAGACGATGAAGATTTGATTGGTTGTGATTGATGAGTGACTTGACAGAAAGAAAAAAAAAATCCACCGTGGTCATTATTGCCGACAGCTGATGTTAAGCCACGGTTGGTTAATCCGAGTACGCCTATTTTCGGCGGTTATTAAATTTAAGATTCTTTCAATAATCTTCATTACGCCTATTCTCGTTTTTATTTTTCCGAGTTGCTGCAGTGGAGGTACGTCCACTGCTGCCATTATTTTTTATTATTCATTGTCTTCTACGAATTTTCTCAATTATTCGTTAAGGAAACTATTGTTTTAGCCTCGTAGATATCTTTTCTCACGATTGCTTGCTGGCCCTCGTCGAGTTGCTCTGTCAGGTAAAAGAAAAAAAAACAATCATTTTCCATTATTTATTTTTACCCAGTCGTTGGTGCACTCTGCGCGCGTGGAACTTTTCGCTGCTGCGCGATTGCCGATGTCAGAATAATCAGAGAATCATTTGAAATATTTGAGTTTAAAAATTCATCAGATAAAATTCAATCAAAGAATTTTTCAATAATTTTCCCCTTCACTCCCACGACCCTCGACTTTCCACAATTTTTCCAATTATTATTTCCACATCTGACTATTTAAATAAATATAAATATTCAATCAACATTGATAATAATAATTCTATCGATTTTCTAAAGAATTATACGGAAATCCGATCGGCCGATAGATAATTGATAAAACCTGGTGGAATATTCTCGTTTATTAAATGAATAATTGATTCTTCTGATTAATTTTCTGGCACAACGATACAGAGCTCTTGAGCTCGACTTGGTCCGGTGATTTTGGTCCCATATATCTATGATATATTAATCTTTGTATGTTCCATGAACGATCTAGGTATTAAGAAATCCTCCAAGTTATATCTCCCCTCAACTAAAGCTACATCTAATTAATAAAATGACTCAAGTGGGTCAAAAAACAATTAGACGACTACTTCCCTCACAAATGAATTATTTATAAACAATAACATTTTGCAATGCTCGTACTTCTCGCTATATTGGGATCGTGGTTTGTTCATTAATTTAAGCTCGGAGATTTTTACATTAAAATTATTAAGATTAAATTTATTATCACTCGTAGATTGATATTTGTTTGTTAAGTTATTTATGTACTTCTGTTCTCTTGTAAGTTATGGTCTCCTTCGGAGATATTTAATGGGCGTTTTGAGTTTTATTATTATTATTCTGTATATAAAGCGGTAGATGTTGATGGAGGAGAGGTCTACACATATTTATACATGTTTTTTGATTCCAATGTTTATCAAGATTCTCGTGCATGGTGAGAAAGTAAACGTGTTATAGTTTTCAGACATATAGGTATTTTCAAGCTGAAATACGTGACTTGTTTTGTCGCTCGTGATTCACGATGCACTGAAATCGAAATGGAGAATTCAAATGGAAATGTGTAAATGTTTAATGCAGGTGATAGGTAAATCATAAATACCCCACATCAATGCATTATAAATATCCTTCTTGAAATTTTTATTAATTCAAATTATCCAATTATCAATTACACCAGCAATCGAACTGAATAATTAACAGAACCATTCTTTTTCACTGTGCACAACAATTTGAAAACAATAAATTTCATTATAATCGTAAGTAATTGGTTAAGCTCGAGTGTTCCAAAAATATTAAATTTCCCAAGTGCCTAAATAATGATTGAAAATATAAAGATGACAAAATTGTGAATATAGATAAATCCGTAGAGGTAGTCGATGTTTATTTTTTGAGAGTGCATTTGCAGTTGTTAAGTATAATTATTATTAATATTGGAGAAAGTGCAAGGGAGTGAATTGTTGAATGATGACACTATTTTAGTTTAAACCCTCGCTGGGGGTCTAGGACTCTCAGGAAAGGAGGAAGGATTCTCCAACACTCCTTAAACGTTCGTTGTCGGTACGAAAACGAGTTTACATAATGGGATCGTAAAGTGTGTGGACTGCGATACTTACTTGGTACATGGGACGGTGTAACCCATCGGTTAACCCATGTGTATCCTCTAGGGCTATGACCATGAACCGTACCAACAATGTTGATGATTCCAATACGTCAACGTCAGCAATTAAAATTTCATTTCTCTAAAAAATATGTAAAAGAAAAAAAATATACAAAACCCCTTTCATCGGTCGTTAAAGAAACTCACGCGCCTTCATTTAAAAAATTTATGTACCGTTAAAAGTGATACAATTTAAACATTGAATTCCAGGAAATTTTAGGAAATTTTAGGAAATTTCAGGAAATTTTAGGAAATTTCAGGAAATTTCAGGAAATTTTAGGAAATTTCAGGAAATTTTAGGAAATTTCAGGAAATTTCAGGAAATTTCATTCCACAAGTGTTTCTGACATTTACTCACTTAATTCAATGATTGTAATTCTTTGAGAATATTTATATCTGCAGAGCGAGTGTTAAAGGTCATTAGGAAAGTTTATTGATGACTTTTAGAAATATTTTATATTTCGCACAACAAAATTCAAGGCTATAAACCGTGGGAAATCTCGTGTACACAAGTGAAGTACCACATAAATTGATATCAACATTTCACGATTCTATTAATGCAACTCCAACCTTACGATCTTTACGACGCATAAAATTCGAACTTCTCCTTCATACAGATTTGCGTTAATGCACCCATTACCATGCCTCACTGACTTATCCAGAGGGGGAATGGTGAAACAAAGAGAATATTATGAATTTATGGAGAAAAGAGAGTAACATTACCAGAATAATGCGCACATTTCGGTGCAATATCAAGGCTACATATCATTATCACTGTTGCCCTCCATTTTATCATTAATCTTTACTTTCTACCAGTGAACAAGATGTCGAATTATATCCCAATGGAACAGAGTCATGACAAATATTGTAAATTTTATATTGAATTTAGGATGAACATCTAAAAATCAAGTGAATGCATTCGTTGTATCAATTTAATGTATAAAATTTCAGTAATATTCATTATTTATGTTATCGTACTTTGGAAAAATATTTTTTATAAATTGAAAAATATAAACAATGTATTAAACCATGTGCCTACATTTTGTGGTCCCTCTCCTGAGATTATTCATGAGTCAATCTTCATATTTTTTTTTTTTACTTTTGGAAAATTCGAATCGACAGAATCAATCAATCGATGAATTGTTAAATGAATAAAAAATTAATAATAAAAGAGTTGTTTGTGTCCGTTTAACCCCAGTGGTTGATGTCATTTTTTAAAATCAATGAATTAATATATTTATTATTTCGCTGGAGCTGATGAAAGCCCCCGAGTTGTCCAGTGCATAAGTACAATAGAAGAGTGTAATACCCGTTTTTCCTCATGAAGGCTTACGGTCTCTCAGCGGCATATAAGAGAGAACTTGGGAGAAAGATAAAGAGACTTGGACGTGCCATAAATTCAGCATAAAGCCGACACGATCGAGCACCGGGGGAAACTCACTGGGGGCCTCAGGCATTCCAATTTGAGGTGGGAACACGAGGAATACATTTTTTTATTATTCTATTTTCCCATTTTTTTTTTCTCTTCCTTCACCCTTTTTTTTACATGCAGGGATAACTGTGCGATATGAATCACGGGTGCTTGGGCCATTTTGTAAAAAGGTATACGTTGCATTATAGATATACCCTTATGGACATATCGGGATGAGTAAACCCCATTGGATCAGATGGAGACGCTGGAATATGAAAGGAGCCAACGGAGATGAGACTAAAAAAAAGGTGAAGTTGATACCAACTTTGCACTGGGGCGCGAGTTGTGGGCGTCTCCTGGATGATTTACAGGGTTTTAATCGTACAATTAATCTAACACCTTGTTGCAACAACACCTCCACCACAGGGTGAAGCCGGTGTTTTTGTGGTGGTGGATAGCTGGAGATCAGCTTGGGGCTAAAATTTTAATCAACTCGGAGAAGAACTCGTTACAGTGGAGTGGATTTTATTCCTAGAGTGGTGACATTTTTATTTTAATCATCAAATCTTTATTTTAATTATGTCTGGAATAATTCGAGGGTACACCAGGAGTCTGGATTATTAGTGGGGATTTTTAAGTTATGAGGAATTGTTTTTGATTAGTTCGTATTAAGAATTTCAATCATTAATCATTGATAGAGCTAATGGAGAGAAATCATGCGGTGGGATAAATGTTTTGATAAAATGAGGGGAATGCTGATTGTGGGGATGTGAAGAGAATAATAATAATGTGAATAACAAATTAATGGATTATCTATGAGGTTTGTGATGTCGTAAAGACCGAGATTCTGGGAGTGTTGATTTTTAATGGGTATCTCCATCGATCTCTATTCGCGTCTCCACCACGACTTTCCAATGGAGTTACCGATCAAAAAGATTATTTTATAAATAATTGCACTTGCGAATGTTTATTATATCCTAGATTTTCGGGAACGTCAAAGAAAATTGATGGAGAAATGATAAGAGGGAATTAAATCGACGAGATTGTTAAAACCTGTGGAATTTTTATTAATTGAGAAGTCAGAGTAATTTGTTGCTAAATAAAATTCAATTTAAAAGCGATAATTTCCATACGATTATATAAAATCTACTTATTAATTATTACTAGTGGTACTTGAGGGGAAAATATAAAGCGGTCATAATAATGACGATAAACAGAACGTGCTGATGATGTTGAAGGAGTTATGGTACAATATCCTGTCCAGGGGATGAGGTAGAGATAATTTTTCCACTGAAAGGATAACGAAGTGAAAATCGAAGTGAAAAGCCATGAATTAGGGAGATAAAAAAATAATAATTTCCAATCCACAGTGAAAATTATATTTCCCCATGAAAATATTTAAAATATTTTAAATAATTGACAACTGCCAAATTCAACCCTCGCAAATTCGTGATGACTAATTAATAATGAAAAATGATTATATTATTATAAAATGATAAATTTCCTGTGAACATTAATCTTCTCTCCGGTGAATTCTAACTGACTATATTTTTTTGCAATAACCAGCGGTTAACAAACCGATAAATAACGACTAAAAGTTATGATATGTCTCTAATAATAGACAAGGGTGGATTACAGTGTAGGTATTAGTCATGTATGTTATGGAATTTTCGGTTCGTTTAGTATCGCAATTCACGTGGCACGATATCGCAACGATTATTGCAGTGTTGCATGTTATGAGAAAAAACGACAGCAATGTCGAGAGGTCGAAGTCATTAATGATACGGATAAAGGGCGAGGCGATATAAAAGGCGCAAATACCGCTTATATATTTATATATAGATTTTTTTTTATTTATTTTTCGATCTACGAGAGGTACCGCGTTAAGGCGGCCCTGAAAGTCACCGATATAAATCCGAAGGTTAACGGGTTATACTGTTTCAATATAAGCGACACCACTGTTCATTTATTGTCGAGAAATCATGGTTTATGCAGTGATTTTATCAATTTGTGATTTTTCCTCAAAAGGTATGATGAGAGACTCCAGGAAAATGCTATTTGTCTCAACCATGAACGACTGACTACTTCCAATTCCAACTCCAACCGTTCGTTCGTTCGTTAATTAAAAATATATTTTATCATTAATTATATTAGTATTATCTCATCATTTTTTAATCTGACGCGTCAAGTCTGTCATTGAATGAAGAAAAAATATTATTTTCGCTCAAGAAATCCTGCGAAAATCAATTGCCGTATTTTAATCATTAGCATTTAGATTAATTAATTATTTTATATTTACGATTAAAAAATATATTAATCCTAATAATTAATCATTTTTTTAAACCGAAAGAGATTGCAGAATGAATTTATTTTCATGGAAATAAATGAGAGAATTTAATCGAATAATTAATGAGTCATTTATGTGATCTTTATGGAAATTAATTGGATAATCGGATTGGGATGGGAAAAAAATTTCGGAAAAATCGGCTAATACCATTTTTTTTAGTGAAAATTATTTTTATTGAGTCTATAATTTTTTAGCGAATGCACCCCCGCAACAAACGATCGCGCACAACCGCTGGAACCCAAGGACAACAACATTCTCCATGAAACTAATTGCCAGGTAAATGTATAGATATACTATGTACCGATATACGTAGGTGTATTTCGTCTGATCCAATATACACAACGTGTTGAATTTATCGATTTCGAATTTGTTGGAGAAACTGAACAGCCAGTGGTGACAAATAATTCCGATAAATTATTTCGATTTCAATGCATTTCAATTTGCATTATTTAACTCAACAGGTGATAACAATCTTTGGGTAATTCAATATATTGTAGGATCTAGATCGTTGAGTCTATGATGTTATAAGCTAATTGCTAACAGATTTAATTTTTCCAGACAGATAATCCTGTTCTTTCACACATTTAACGACTCCTGTAGCTTTGAGTAATGTTTTAATTATTTATAATTACATTCAGATGTTTCTTTCGAATTCTTTTGTCATCGGATCCCTAGAATTATAATTTTCCCTCTCTATTTCTCTTGGCGTCTTAAACACGAGGAAAATAATTCCTGGATCCACAAAGATGTAATAAAAATTGCCTATTTGTTAAATCAATCCTCCAATTATTTATCCGTGAATATAAAAAATGGTTTTATCACTGGGATATCTTTAATTTAGATAGATTGAAGGTAATGGCGGGTGTTATCCCATAATATGAAATTATAGTAATTTTTTATTTAGCGAATTGAATCACAGCACGCGCGATGGTGTATTAATAAAAATATAAGAGGAAACAATTCAAAAATAGCAATCTGATACAGAAAATGAGGATAACCTTGGGGCGTCGGTTTACCAGCGAATAAAAGGGTGGAGGTGTAAACTGGAGTTTTATGAAAAATTTGCACGATAGTTCGAAGACGTTTTCACCTGCGGTGCCGTTGTAAAACGACTGTAATCTAGGCTCGATCGTTCAGGTATTTTCCTCGTTCCAGGTGGTACATAAGAGGAAAAAGTAAAAATCGAGTGAATAAAATTTCATGAGAAAATGAAATAGAAATTACAGTGGTTTGGAACCATACGCCGTGGATAATGGGCAGTAATGATCCTCGGTACCATCATCCACTCATGGGGTCGATCAATTTTTCAGCAGTTCAAAAACCCCTTGAATCCCACCCCCCATTGATCCACTCGATGAAAAAAAAAATAATTGCCGAATAATCGGTATTACAAGGTATTCAATTATACATTTTTTATTCAATTTTAATTGTCATGCTTTAATATCTGAAAAAATTTTAATAATCTCGATAGTTGTACTGATGGCGTTGGACCTCCAACGGTTTATCGACACGCGAATACGAACATAAATCCAAATTAGCGCCAGCAATGCTGTCGATCGATTGGATCTTCCATTGGTTTATGGAGTCGTGGTACAAGAGATACTGCTTATTGTAGATGGAAGTCATACTGTGTCTTCTACACACCTACGACATCGATATTCTCATCGAGAGCTATTGACACCTTCCGCATTTCTGGATCTAAATTGATAGAGCAATAACGGGAATTGATTTAAATTTATTTACTGATTAATTAAATAAAGGGTCTTTAATTTCAGGAATTAATTAATTAATTGAAAAATCTTCAGGCAATCACTGGAATTTTGAGAGAAATTGCAATTAATGCAAGTACATTTTACATCAGTTTAGAATTGTCTGGAAAAAATTAATTAAATTTCTGGTAATTGTTAATAAAAAATCAATCATCAGTACAACTTTTTCTTTATTCACCTTACGTACTATTAATTCAAATATGGGCTACGTATTCGTCTGTAAAACTAAATGTACAAATATTCCTGCACGAGTTTGATTTGAAAAATTTTAAAAATAAAATTTACCTCGCGCATGCTTAGTGTCTCCTGCTTTATACAGACAGTTGATTGACATTACTCTAAATAATTATAATTACACATAATCGATTATACCACGTGGAATTCTCTCATAATTCAATGTAAGACCCCAATTGTCGAATATTCGAATTTATAAAAAATAAAATAAAATTCGGAGAATTTCTCGTACGTGTGAGATCAAGGGTCCGATTCTGTTCTAAAAATCGAGTAGAGAAATGATAGAAAAAATTTCGCTCGATAAAAATTTATTTCAGTCGAAAGATCCGAGTATTTTCTTCATCAATTTACTTCAAGAAATGAAATCGTTTGATTTCTCTTGAAGCCTAGAATATTCCTGGGATTCTATTATTATCATCGAATTTTCTGTCTGAGGAAAATCGTTCTATTAATTCTCCACTGCAATAAAAAAACAAAAAAAAAATAGAAAACCACGGGTAAGTGGGAAGACAAAAATGAACTTGAACTCAAGCCTGACAATGTCAATAATACACCCCTAAATGGCTCTTCTAAATTCATGACGAAACCTATTATGATCGATTTTGGTGGATTGCACACTAAGCTGCCCCTGCAATTCTCGTAGAAAAAAATTCAATTAAAAAAAATCATGTAATTGCATCAACGAGATGTATCATACAATAAATAACAGAATTTTTGTGCACTGCAATGTACAAAAGCGTATAATTTCTATATCTTATCACTTACAGAAAAAAATCTACTTATTTGATTCGTCATCCAATCAAACTCCTGAGAACCCGAAGCACAACGCCTCGGCCTTCCAAATTTCCATAATTAAAACACAAATCCCATTCAATCCATCACATACTCGAAGATATTGTAGCTGAATACTAACATTCTAGCGTATTTCACACAATAAAATACAACAGCGAAGTGATGTTGAACGGTGAATTTTCAGATCACGCGAATTGGTAGAAATTCTCTCCTTCGATGAAGCAACGAAACACGGAAATTAAATACAAAACATGAGAGCCTTTTCTCGCGAATGAAGAAGAATTACAAACGATTCCGATGTATCACATATTTCGACTATGGACGTTTTGACGTGACGTCACTATATCAACATTATCAATTCCCCATGACTTGTCAAATTTTAATTATGCTTAAACAAAGTTTCTCATATTCGTCATTCAATTTCCATATTTGCTTCAATTCATTCATAAAAAAAAACGTCGAAAGCACTTTGAAGAGAGAATTTCAAGAGCTGTAAAAATAATTATTGATCTGATTTCTATCTTTACAAAAAAAGATTTCCAGATTATTACACACCTCCAAATGCAGTGAATTTGAATAAATGTCAAGATATTGTTTGATTTTTTTTTTCATCCAAGACAAAATCCGTTGCCCTTCTCGATCAATTACAATACCCCCAGGTACACGTGCCACACTCTGTTCCTCCAACATTCCCTCACGTTCCCTTCTCCTTGATTTTTTTTTCCTCCACAAGCTTGACATCGGTCACATGAAGATTATGAATACTTCTAGCAGCAAACCTGATTACCCCCTGAGTGGAAACCTGAGTGGTGTGCCTGAGATCGAGTCTCTTCAATGCCTTGCACCTGGCGAGATGCTCTAAACTGGTCTCCGTGAGCATTCGACAATTGGATAAATTCAAACTGACAAGATTAGCGATTGCCAATGCAGGTGGAGTTGATATTTGTGCAACACCAGCATCAGTGACTCTTCCACACGAGCTGAGATCGAGAGTCTCGAGATGTGGAAGATGCTGAGCAATATACCTCAGGGCGACATCAGTGATGTCACATCCAGCGAGTGACAAGTTCTTGAGATGCTTTAACCTGGATGTTTTATCAATGAGTCCAGGTCTCGAGTCAGTGGGTGGACTGAGCACCTCCCTGAGACTGGAGTCATTGAGTCCAGACACATGAGAGAGATCCAGACTCACCAGAGGTGGACACGTACAGGTTCTCAGGGCACATACACCTGCCCAGGTGCATCCCTTCAATGAGAGAGATCTCAACTGAGGGAGTCTACCAAGCAGCCAAGCCAATTGTCTCTTAGCAACGTTCGACCAGTCCAAGCAGAGAGTCTCAGGCTGTCTCCTAGCAATTCCAGTCAAGTGAGAAGCTGTCAAGTGTGCATGGGACATATCCATTCGTCTCCAGAGTGTGGGATCAATGCTGTATCTGGCCCAGGTACGACAGACAACGGCACAACTGGCTAAATCTTTTGGGGATAAGTACCTGAAGACTGCCAGCACAGCAGTCTTGTCGTAGGCCAATGACTGTCCAGTTATTTGAAGTGGGGGAATTTGAACGGGTCTAACTACCACGACAGGACGTTTTAGGGATTTGTTACTTGATCCAGTCAATTGTGCTGCCAATTGGGTTCTCAGAGCTGATCTTTGGTCACCCTCAGCAGCCTCACGATCATTCCACGTCTGGAACATTAATCAATTGGTTATTCGGATGGCTGGGGTTAGATTGGCAAGAGAACTGGGAGAGGAGAATTTATGTTCTACCTCTGCTGGGTCTGGTCTTGCTCTTTTGCTGGGAGTGGTGGCACGTTCGGAGTCTGTTGTGGGAGCTGAGGATGCTGCTGAGGAGGCTGACACCTTTCGGACACGATTTTTCGGTGGACGAGGACGGTGGTCCACGTTTCGACCACTTTGACAGCACGAGGGGCACTCCCAGCTGTTTGGGATGTCCTCGTTGATTGTCAGACGCTGGGGGTCGATTCCCACGCAAGCTGGGTGAACTATGTCGAAGCAAATTGAGCATTCCATCAGGTTCGAGGGGGTTACTGGTGTTGGTTTACCTGGAATTAATTTTGTTTGATTATTTATCGAATTTTCATTGTTAGTTTGGAGCAATATGTGAATTTATTAAGAAATTCACCCATGAGTGGAGCTGGATGCTGCCCCCAACCATCCAATTGACACACTTTGCAGGCTGCAGTGACAGGTAACATCGGCCTGAGACACTGTCTCATTCCGCAAGTCTGTTTTGCTCTCCCCGTCCCTCCAAATTTCACCATGTCCTGACAATAAACACATTCCCCGCAATCTTGTCGTGTGCATGCTTCACACTTCTTGCATCGTGTTCTTCTTCTTCGTGGCACTGTAGGTTTAGTCTCTTGTTTTACTTCGGAGGAGTTCGGAGAAGGACGTTTGGTGTAAGTTTTTCTTCCAACTTTCATTCGCTCCCTCTCAACAATACTCAAAGGTGGAGGTGTGGGTAGAATTGGATTCCCCGTAACTGCAGCCTCAGGGCTATCATGTCTGTGCTGCTCCACAAGACATCTGACATCGTGAATCAGAGCAACAGGATCTCTTATTAATTCAGGCACATTCTTCTTGGTACTCGGTAACGAGTGGAGATACATGACAATGCTTTTGAGCCCATGCAGCTCAAAAGGCGTCAGGTGTTGATGCATCTGAACTGGTGGAGTGACATGCTGCCTCTGCGTCTCCGAGATGTCCAGATGACTCCTCCCCAGGAGCACATGAACGTACCTCTCGAGAACGTACCACAGCATCTCAGTGAAGAAGGGATATCTGAATTTCTGAGGCACTTTTGTCTGCTCCTCCACCTGCGCCACCTTCAGCTGCTTATCGATGCCAAAACTGTGGAGGAAATTTCCTCCGAAGACCAGAGAATCTTGAGGAGTGTACACAGCGTGAATCCAACCAGTTGGTATGAATAATGTCATTCCTGCAGTTAGACTTATCCTCCCACAACGATCCACCATATCTCCGAAGAAAACATCCGATTGTTTTCCACTTAAAACCCACTCCTGGTAGAGTGCAAGATTTTTCTCGGTTGGTGGAATCAACCAGAATATTTTTCCACCTCTCAGGATATGGTACCAGACACTCGTGCCTCCAAAGTCCACGTGGAAGTCTGTGTAACACCCTTTTACTGACATAAGACAGTACTTTTGAACCTTTGGGTACATCATATCTTCGAGGAGATTTGTTGCTTCCACCTGGGACTCCTTCAAGTGTCTTGGCCATACTGTGTCCACCCAGTCTACCTGACGAACGAGAGTGGGAGATTGAACGTAATTTTCTAATTTTGTGTGTGAGAACTCGAGAGAGATAACATTAAGGAGTCGAGCCTTGTTGGGGTCTTCATAGTATCTTTGCCATTCCTTCATCGTCATGTCTTCGTTTTTTTGCGTGGTTACGTCCATTACATCCAGAAGTCTCTTTGATCCTGGAAATTATTTTTAAAAATTCATGGAGTTTAATAACCTGAGATCTACTGAGGTTTCAATAAAAAAAATTGCTAGATTAATCACGTACCAACACACGTTCTGACATCATTAATTGAAAAATTGGAGCTTGGAACCCTGAGTCCAAGACCAGATTTATCCCTGAATAGCAAAGGAATACTGAGTCCATATCTCTGTAGAAAACTCAGATTGAGTTCAGGCCCATTCATCTCCCTGAAAAGTCCTGAGAAGTTACTGAGGTTATACCTCTCACACTCGATCTTTTCATCGAGTTGAAATGTCCTTTTGCCCTCAATCTCCTCATCCCCCAGGGTCCAGTCGTCTGTGTACAGCTTTCTCGTTCTCTCTCTCTGTATACAACACAAACAGATGGAAGCAGCATTTAAAATTATGCTTACGATAATTTTTCCAGAGCTCAATACTAAGACACTCCATTATTGGTTAATTCAGTAATTTTCAGCCATTTGTTTACCAATTGACGCCTCCTGGGCAGCGAGGTGGTGTCATCGGCCATTGCGTACACGCTGTCAGAAACGTATCACCTCAAGTTCATTTAATACTCGATAATTTGATGATTTTATTTGTCGGTTTTGTCGAGTGAGGTTGAATGTTGGAGGGAAACACTTATTAATCACATGACAAGTAACAATTACGAGGTTTTTTTGTTAAAAATCAAGAGTTGATTACACTACTGCTGGAGCACTGCGAAACGTGGTCGCCATATTGGCTTCAGGAAGGGGATCTTCAGAGGCAAAAGCTCCCTAGGTAAAAAAAATCCCCAAAGTGTAGGGATATTGGTTTTTCTCATTTCATTTAATTTGAATTAGGATAATCGAGGACTGAACGAGAATCGATTAATTAAAGTCAACAACAAATGAAAAACCCGTTGTTCTTTCAATATAAGGGAATTATTTTAAATGAAATTCATCTCTTCAATTATTTTTTTCAATGATTTTTTTTATGAGGGTTCGTGATATGGAGGAAATTCCAAGGAGTTCCCCGATGAAAGTGGGGGAGGAAGGATTTTAATGCTCGTCGTTTGATCGATAGACAGTAATCCTGGAGGGATTTCTGAGGGAATCATGGCTGCGAAGATTAATAAAGGACCCAGGAGTCTGGTACAAAGAGCAGTTATTACGAGAGATCCAGACAAAGCGATCTCTGAATATTTCCAATCGAAATTGGAAGCTCGTCAAGTTACGTGAGTTATTATTCCAGGATCTCCGTCATTGCAATAATTGTTTTTTAATTAATAAACAGATAATTTCTGGAGGATCTTTCATTTGCAATTTTTTATTGGAGAATATAATCTTGATTTTTTGGTGGGGGATTATTAAAGGAAATATCCGGAATGGGACGTAGCGAGACATGGACCAGAGGCAGAATTAATGAAAGCACGAAGAGATTTGAGTCAGGCTGAACAAGAGCTCGAGATAAAACGTGTTGAACATGAAAACAAACGTCATGATATGGATCAACAGTGGGCAGAGATGAGGAGGAAGCAAAATCTGTTTCGAGAATCGTTTGTGAAATTTGATCAGTTCGTTCAAGAGAATAAAGAGAAACGTGAGAGAGCCGAGAGGAAAATTAAGGAAGAGAAAGAGCGACAGGAAAACTGCGGAGAAGAAGTAATTATTTATTTTCCTCCCGATCAAATTTATCGAGATCATTTTGACAAGAATTTTGCGGTAGAATTTTTATAATTTCAATCATTATTATATCAAATTTTACTTTACACCTTTACAGATAAAAATTCTCAAGGATAAGATAGAGCACATGACAGCGGTTCGTGATAAAATGCAAAAATACGTAAAAGATTACAAAAATGCTCAGAGTTATTTAGAAAAAGTTATAAGTGAAACAGGCGAGTTTCAGTCCATAAGTGACATTTTTAATCGATTCGAAAGTCTTGTCGAGGCAAGAAAAACATTAACGATGAACCAAGACGAGAATCTGAATGCTTTAGGGAACACTAGCACCGAAATGGTAATGAAATCAAATTCAAACAATTCTTCTCATAGTTGTAATATGAAATTTCTTTTCCAGCAAAAATTGACTGAAGAGAAGGGACAGAAATTGATGAGCTTAAACAGTCAATTGGCGAGTCTTGAAAGTCGATATGATCGAGCTAAGGCTGCGTCGTTGAAATGGGAAGGAATTGTCGCGAAAATCAAATCCACGGCTGGGGATAAGAATCTGGAATTAACGCAGATCAGGTCCTGCTGCTGGAATATTTATCAACAGATTTGTAAGAGAAAGGGAATTTCAGTGGAAGTCGACAAAGGGGATATTGAGAATCAATTGGTCCACATAAAGAGCACAATCCTGGAACTGAAGAGAATTGTCAAAGCTGCGAAGAAAAAGGTTGCAAAAGACGCGAAAGGAAAAAAAAAATGAATAATGAAAAATAATAAAAAATTTTTGTGACTAATCTATTCGGAAATATTATATGGTATACAAAAGATAGATGAGGGGGAGCTGCTTTGAATAGATAATCTCCCTGGAGAAATTGTTCGGGAAAAACTACAACTCAATAATTAATTAGGGCAATTTGCTTGAATTACTGACATTTGGTTTACCAACAAAATTCCCTCGATTACGTTATTCCCAGGAAACGTGGGAGCGTCTGAGGAACGTTTCGCGTGAGACAACACAGGCACGTCCACTCGCTGTATATAAATGAAGATGCGTTTTAAATTCATTGTTATTCATCCACAAAATTTATTGATATCTCCTCTGAATAATTCTCCTAGCTGCTGGCAAGTGACAACCAGAGACATTGTGCAAAATATCGGTGTGATCCTCCTTGAGAACATTTTTTAGCTTCTCCCTGATTTCGTGACGAGTCACCGGCACTTCGAGACCTTCTGTGACGATTTGGAATTCTTCTTTCTCAACACATCTATTTGTATCAAGTCCCCAATAATTAACAATAATTAACAACCAAAGGATAAATATAAATAAACAGTAAAAAATGATTGAGAATGAGAATGAAATCAATGAGAAGAAAAATTCGAAGAAATGATGAATGAACTAAAAAATGAAAAATAATTCATGGAAAAGTGACAGAGGGATGAATTCAGTGGTGAATGCTGAACTGATGGATTATTAAATGTTCGTAATTGTTCACCACTGAATCAAAGGACTTACAGAGGACAGGGCTGGGTAGGAACGAGTTGACTCAACGAAGGAGCTTTAAACTTCGGTCTCTTCTCTTCATCCAATCTCAAGTCCATCTTCCCAGAATTAACGTCAGCCCAATGAACCCTGTGGAACATCTCCCCAATCCTCTTCTCAATAATCCCGAGATAAAGCATCACATTATTCATAGTGACATGAGTGTTATCCCCCAGAAGATCCAAAATAGACGAATTATCGCACTTGACGTTGTAAAAGAGAGTTTCAATTCCGTCCAGCAATTTATCGCAGGTCTCGTTGCACTGGGAACGAGTGAAGGATTAATACGAGGTAAATTCTGTTCTTGGGGAAAAAAAATTTGAATTACTTCAGTGAGATTGGCCTCAGCCTCGTCTGCCTGGGCTGTCTGCTCCTCCAGCTGTTTTGAGATTCTCTCGAGGGTCTCAGACTGTTGACATCCCCGGTGTACATTTAGGGCGTGTGCCTCGTCAATTTCATCTCTCAATTGAGTCACACGCGTTTGTAAACCCTCGAGCTCATCATTCAGTTCATTCACGTAATTAAATAGCGCAAAATTCTCTTCCTCTTGTTTCGTAAAGTGCGCTGTTAACTTGTCAATGTCATCTTCCCCTAAAATCAAATTAATATAATTTGTTTAGTGTTTGAATGGAATAAATAAGTTCTGGAGACAATTATTTTCAGTGGATTTTCGTGGAAATTCCCTGATTTCTAATCGTTTTCGATGAACGGTCTTCACCTGTGAATTCTTTAACGAGATTCAATATCTCAGTGTAAGAGGCAATTTTATTCTCCATTTCTTCTCGTTTAGCTTCACGTTCGGCATCCTTCTTCGCCTGTAAATCGGCCATTTCTCGGTGTTGCCCCTTGATGCCCAGGAATTCCTGGAGTTTCAATTCATTATCGAGAGTCCGTTGTAATTCACAGAGTTCTGAAGTATGTGCCTTCAAATCTCTCGCTCCCCTGTTCACAGCCGAAAGAATAAAATCGACAAATCAAAACACTCAATAAAAATAAAAATATAATTCACAACCACAATAAAAAATTTCAATTTCCAAAACCATTTCAATCGAATTGTTTCGCAAAAAATTATTGACTCATAAATTAATCGATGAATTAATACAATTTTTGAGATTTATTTCTGATTTTATTTGTTGGTAAGTGAAGGTTCAGGTAAAGAAGAAATGGTGAATAAATTTGTTGACTTTATGAGGATGCAAATTGCAATGAGAGCAATGTTGCTGCAAGAGTGCAAGAGCAATCCCCGAGCAAAGTGGATAATTACCTCTCCCTGAGTGCATGGATCTTGTTGAGCTCCTCGTCACGTTGATTGAAGGTAATGGTAGCTTGCTCGATGAGATCATTGATGACGGACTTTCCAGTATTGAGTTGGCCAATCATTTTAGCCCAGAGGATGTTGAACTGAGCTCGCTCCTTCAGCAAACTGTCTATCTTAGCACGCAACTGAGAATTTTCAGCCACGACAACGTTAAAACGTTTAGTTGCTACTTCCAACCTGTTCTCTAAGGTCGTAATCATGCGATTATGCTTCTCCGATATTTCTTTTGATTGAGCGTCCGATCGAATTTTCATTTTCAATTGATGAACCTCTTTCGATACCTTGATAATTTGCTCCTGAAGTTCATCAATCTGTTGTCTCTCATTCTTGATCATCTCGATGTATTTTGCTCTCTTCGCTAGAAGACACTTCAATCTCTCATCCATCTCGTTATCCTTCTTGGAGTTGGCCTCGGATTTTGCCATTTTAATCCCCAGAACTAGCTCCGCTTTTTCATACTCGAGTCTCTCAATCATATTCTGCTGATTTCTCAATTGCAATCTAGCTTTTTCGGAGTAAGTTATCCGATCATTCTCCATGATTCGGTACTGACGTTTTAATCGAGACAATTCAGCCTCCGCCATCGTCTCCATCTCCACTTCGTCCTGGACCGGTTGCTGTTTGTAAGCCATTGTTACACCTCGAATTATTGTAATTGTTGGAGTTCAATTGGTCGATGATTTTTCTTTTTAAAGGGAGTGTCGCGGGTTCCGGGAATATACGCGATAAATTGATACTTCCTCTTCAGAAAAAGGCACTATGCGCGGAAAAACCGGTGCCAGATGCCGAGATCCAGACATCTGCCACCAGGCACACGACTAAAACCACTGACAGCTGTACTTTTTGTTATAATTTCGAAATATTTCTTCCGGGTTGATTCTACTTCAGTTTTTCCACTGGAAGGAATCGAAAAAGGGATCACCGAACGGTTAAGAGTTTGCGGTTTCCATAGTTACTTGACACGCGATATTGTTAGGTAATTCGGTAGATGGCAGTTGAAATTAATGCAATCTGTAATTAGAAGGATGACAAGACTCATTAATTACAACGATTAAAATGACGCAAGAAATTTTTCAATATCTCCATATTCCGATTTATCAAATCGTCGGTATTCGAGATTTATCGCAACTGAGAAATTCACCTCACTTCAATCAATGTTACTGTATTCGTATTATATATCGATAATAAAAAAATATTCGATTCAAATCGATTCAAATCGAAATTTTATTTTTATAAAAATTACAATATATTATTTTATTTTATTTCGTTATGTATTTTCCATTCAAATTTCCATGTCATGCGCAATGAATTAAAAAAAATTGAATAAATGGGGAAAAAAATACACTGGTCTACCCCCACCGAAGGTATGTGAACCTTCAAATACAAATCCCCTCTCCTTCCAACCGGTATGCGGTAATGGTGGGGATAAATTGAAGTGGGGGAGTCCATGTAACGACAGGTAAAGTCTTCAGTGCACGAGCCCGAGCTCCGGCGTACGTACGTCGATATTTAGCACACCGAGTCCGGGGACTCAGTGAAATTCAAACAACTAAAAATCGCGATTTAACCTCGACGAAATCACCGATCCAATAACCATAACCGAAAATCAAATTTCAAAATAAAAACAAGATTGAGTTCAACTCTCGTGTCCTGACTTCAACCGATTCCAGCGACTCCATTCACCGATTCCGTAATATTTATTTTCCTGTCTCGTGACTCACCAGTGCTAAGGACGCTCACCAGATCTTTTGTCTCCTGGGACCGAGTATTCGAGGGTTCCACAGGTGAAAATGAAGATCCAAACCACTAGAGTCCCCATGACCTCCAAAACCCTGAGAACTCGAAAAAATCATCAACTCCTGTTGGAGTGACTAAAAACCAGAGATTTGTGGTTGGAAATCGCGTGAGTGTGTGAATCGTCTTCTGGGAAATCCAGAGACTATCGAAAAACGGTACCAGACCCATCCTTGAGTAAATCCTCTCCATTTTGAGAGCCCAAAAATATCAATCCCCCCGACTATCGATCGACTCTTCGTGACGTACAGCAATCGATCACGAGTTGAACTCGCGTGTTGGCATAAAAACACCGAAAAGGAAAAAAAAAAAAGAATCGTTGAATATTTTTGAGCCAACGAAGCCGAGAGTTGAACGTTACGCGTGTGATTATTGAAGCCAACTTATCTCAACTAAACCGTAAATTACACAAATGCACTATTTAGACCGTGTTTCATGGAGCAAGAACAGAACAAGAGTTAAATTAAAACTCTAGATCACCTTCTGATCCAGTTATAAGTATTTTTTTTTTTTTCATTTCAATAATATTTTTTTCTTTTACCCCAATTTTGACATTCAGAGCACGTGTCTGTGCTTGAGGAATCCCCCGGTGGTCGCAATGTCAGTGTCTCCTCGTGAAGATGACTGAAACGTCATTATGGATGCAATTAGTGTTAAACCTGTTTTCTAGATGTTAAACCCGTTTTATTACCATTTTTCACTTTATCCCGAGGGGTTATTCGTCTTGGAGAACAATTTATCTGGATTTCATTGAGGAAAATAAGTGTATCAGTGTGTCAAGTGACATTAGGAACGGTTTATTTGAGTATGAAAAAGTGAAATTAACCGGCAAAAAGTGAAGCACAAGTGATGAAAGGTGTTGGATTGTTGTGGTAATGGGTTATCAGGCTGTTGTCCTGGTGTTTTTGGTGGGGATGTGACGGTTTAACGTCATTGAATGCACCTGACGTACGATCGATAACAATAGTGTGGGCTGGTGCATCTGTTTGACGATAAAAAATTATTGTTTTGTGAAAAAGTGGGGACTTGTTAGGGGAGTCGAGCGAATATGTTGCCCAGGAAAGAGGGACAGTTGGAGCCTTATGCTCTTGAGGATATGATCTCTGATCTGCAGACCAGGAGAAATGCTCTGGATAGTGATGATGATGTTGGGGATCCTCATGAATTGCTTAAGCAGAGTGAGAAGGATCTTGTACTTGCTGCTGAATTGGGGAAGGCATTGCTGGAGAGAAATCAGGAACTCACCAGACAGTCTGAGGCACTTGCTGAAGAGTACAGCAATAAACTTGAGGTGAGTCACTAATTATTCACACGTGGAGAGAGAAAAATTGGAAAAAATTCGGGGACAATTCAGTTGTTATTCTGGCAAGTCTCTTTTCAGTTGAATTACGTGTCGCGCAATTATTCAAGTCATCAATTTTTAATTTACTTTGATGACAATTTTATTAGTCAGGTTTTATTAGTCCCTTTTGGAAGATAACGTATCAGATATATTCGGATTAATTCGGGATTTTTGCTGATTGCAAAAGCGAGTTGTGAGATTGTCGCAGGTTTTCAAATCTTTTTTTCTATCTTATCTCGAAGTCTATTCTTGAGATTCTCTGAGTTTGTGATTGTTGATTAAATTGTTGGGAGGGAAAATAATTGCGGGTCTGTGTCCTCTTCAGGTTTTTGTTCTTATATTATTATGAAATAGTTGGATTGAATGTGGATTACAAGGGATTGATTGATTTTTATATATAAAGGACAGACACGTTTTATCAGATCAGTTGTAACCCACATTCGCCCTGAGCAAATTATTTCTGTTATCGAACTCTGATTTAGATGCTCGAAAGAAATGCCCTCCAGTGACATTTTTAGTTTTTCTACTCGTCGCAATCATTCATCAAATATTTTTTATTTGAGAAGACATGATGAGGTGTCATGTCGTTTAGGAGTAAGTGAGAGCCTTCACTTTCTCTGATCTATTGGTTTATGGTTATTATTCCTTGGGAGATGGATAATTGATGGCTCAGTACCGATGCCTGGTTGATCACTGGCAATTGCTCCTTTAAGAGATATATTATGTGTATGTAAAGACTGTAAATGAGATTTTAAATCAATCATTAATTGATTGAAGAATTCTTTTTCAAATAAATCGGACACTGAATTTTCTATAATTTTTTTGGTTTTTGGAGTTTTTTGGGTTTGGAATTAAAAATTATAATTCCGTGGAATATCTCCAGATCTGAATTTGAAGATTTTTTTCTTCAAATTTCAGAGTAATTTCGTAAAAGTGTCCTATAAGAGAGGAAATATGAAACATTGAACTTTCGCGATTTAATATTAATGTGACCGAGATCCGAGGTTGGTGTGGAAAAAGTGTTTACGATTTCATTTGCATGTTTTTTTTATTAGACGGTTGTATCGCCGTTCCCTTTCTCTCGGGTGTCTCGTGTCATAAGATTTTTTATTCTAGCAGGGGAATTTACGACCCCCAACATAGACCTCGATGCGAAAACATTTCTTGGAGATTTGCCAGAATATTCCTGGGGGCCGTGATAAAATCATCGAGTTAAAGACATTGTTCTCTTCTCCATCTCTTTAATTCTTTAAATTACACAATCTTCAGGTCGACGTCCATTTAATATTTGGAGGATTAAATCGGTAATTCGAAGGAAAATGGAATAATAATGAATATATAATCGAATTTGATAACGCAATTTTTTTGAATTGATAGAATTTTCAAATTCATACATTCCATTCAACTTTTTTCTACAGATTCTAGAATTACTTAACATTTGTTTTCTCGTATTGCCTCACTCCGACATTTTCCATAATTACCGGGTAAATAAAGAGTGACCGATATTTCTCTAGGAAATTACAAAAGTCGATGGAATTTCTCTGAATTTTACAGTAAAAAATAAGAAATTTTTGCAATGACGGAATGAGAATTTCGGTGGGACATGATGAGGCAATTTTTTCAGTAAAAATGAAAGTGCGAATTTGTGCTAGTACGACCCTGAATGACGCAAATGAGCGCGTGGGGTACGTTGACATTGAGTTGTTGAGTCAAGACATCCCAACGCACCTGATACGAGTGCGATAACAACGATTGACTGATAACAAACACCGGTCCGTAAAATGGAAATTTAAGATACGATAAAATCGGAAATTTTCGGTGGATAGGATTCACATGCAGGAGAAAATAACGCGCGAATTATGAAAAAAGGGGAATTTCACTCTTTGATAATGCAGAGAAAACGCGATTTTCTTGGATTTAAAATAAAATTCAGATAAAAAATTTTAATATGTTTATTTCTGGGATTGTATGTACAATAAATAATGGGATTCGTCGATGTTCGGAGAGCCACGAAAGCGTGGAAACAAGGCTTGGGCAACATTAAGTTTAAAAAACACTGGAAGAATCTAGCATGTAACAATGACCGGTACCACGGTTCGACTGCCTTACCGTGCTTTTATGCCTTTTTGACCCCAATAATATTATTGACGATGATTGACATATTTATTATGATTTTTGGGTCAACCGTGTGTGTTTATTTCGACGGGACGACAGACAGAGATAAAAATACATTGACAACTGCTTTTTTCTTTCAAAATCATTCCCAGTATTCAAACGGTCAGAGAATTTTTATTTTTTAAACAATTATTCATGTTCTCAATAATTAATTCCCGTTTTTCATATTCAATTAATTCAAGTAATTGAATTCATTCATTGATTTATTATTAGATATGAAGAAATTGTTTTCTTTTTATGATCTTCAAGGAATGAGCTTATGATTTTTCAATTGGTTTTCATAATTAAATAATGAAATATCCACTGGATTATTTTCAGTGCCCACAATTGGTCAGTTTTTTTTTTATAAATTGGTGAGGTATTGTGGGCGAAGCCTTAGGGAAAAATCACCGACGTACAAATCCACGAATCCCTTTAAAGCTAATACACTTGTTCCATCGACATTCCTTCATTCACTTCCTGTATTTCTCCGGTTGAAAGCCCGACAATATTTCAATTTGCAAAACTTATATAAATTCTCAAGCTCCGTGGAGCCAAAAAATTATAAGCCTAAGGTATAAATTACTGAATGATAGTGGCACGTGCCCATAACGAAGAAGTACTGAAATAATAACCCAACAATTGTGGGAGAAGTAGTTGACATTTCCGGATGTTTAATTACAAAGAAATGGCATTAACATCCTGATGTGTCTTCAAGACACGCAGGAAGTCGGATGAATTGACACCTCTTGCCTCACAATTGAATACAGAAATGGAAAATCTTGGATTTATTCAAATTGTTTGGGCCCTTTATTTTTGCCACGTGAGGGGAATCCCGGACTGAAAGACGTGCACGCAAAATACATCCGGTAACGACTGCATGCGAGACGATAAATAAAGAAGAATCCTCAAAGGATGAAATGTAAATGTCCACTTTTGGTATTTTAAGATGAAGAAATTGCAGTCCATTCATTTCCTTTGTTCCCTGAATAATGAAAACTTCACTTTTTTCTTTTCATCAAGAGGAAACGAATAAAAAAGGGTTGAGCAATAAAAATTCATAAATTTTTAACTCTAGATGCAAAAGGTTGAATAAATTATTTATATATCCTGAATAAAAAATAATAAATGGTGGGAATAGGGACGAGTGATTTAGTTGAATGAGTCAAGGACTGAATGATTCCCAAAAATGATAACGATCACTTTTGATAATGATGTTAATAATTACGAAGAATAGAGTTCTAACGAGACGTGGCATATTGAGACGTCAGAAATAATGACTTGGGAAAAAAACATGCGCATGAATAAATAATAAGACAAATAAATCAATTAAATAATCACATAACTCGTCATTTGGGATAACTAATACGAAATATACGACAATTGTATTGCAATTTGTAATGAATTTGTAATGACCCAATTGACGAGCGATGCGAGACACAAATATGTACGTGAACTCGAAAACTACTTGCGATACTGGAGAATTACTCGTTGTAAAAATATATATATATTTATTTTAATTTTCTCCAGATAATTTATTTCAGGGAAATAAGGAATAGGGAATGGATTTTCGCGTTGAATATTTGTGGCCTGTTATTTTCACGGGATAAATACATATTTACAGGCGGTGGTTAGGGCATTTATGCTGTCCTGTATGCGGAAAATAGTCATACACTTGTGCTTTTTTTTTACTCCTCTGGATTCACCCAGATACGCAAAACTATGCAATTCACCTGCATTCATAAAACCGCGTGAACTCTTTTCAGTGCCTCATGCATTTAATTGGCGGTGTAAAACTAGTCTAACCCCGTTGTTCTTCATTACGATAATAATTAGTCCCCGCCAATTGTTCTGTTTACTATTTTTTTATACTTTTTAGATATAATTGGCTCTTCATGACCCAGTGGTAATGATAATTTTTAGGTTTTTGTTTAATAATCAGAGTGGGAAGATGAGTGTTCATTCATCAATTTATTTATTATTATTTATCACCTCAACCCTTCATTATTTTTTGCTCACAGAATTTTTTTATGATTCAGAAATTCGAAAAATAGGATTTTAATATTGGCGGAGGGAATTATTAAATTATTCAACTCTTGAGTATTTTTTTTCACTGTTTAAAATATTTGGAATTGTCGCAGCGCAAAAATGAAATAAATTTATTTTATTCAATATGTTTAATATATATTTTAGATTTTCATACTTTTTCTACGTGCTTGTTTTAATTGCGTGTACTCTCTTGTAATTTGTAAAATTCATCGTGAATTCCTAAAATATTTTAATTGCTGTTTTATTGAGGGTAATTTGCATAATGGATGGATGAATTTTGCGTTTTTATGAGTTTTGAAAGTGCAAACGCCTTCACTTTCCTCAGAATATTCGAGAGAATGGTATTCATTTTTTATTTACACTGGCCATGAAGATACACGTTCAGATAATACAATCGCCACAATGCCTTGAAAAGGTGCATTACAATGACAATTGAAAAACCCCAGGGGCAAGTGTTTGCTGAGCTCGAAATTTTCAACCACAAAATATTCTACCTGCTGAGTTTTTCAAGAAAACTCACTATTTTGAGAAAGCACTCGAGGAAATAATACCTCGTACAATATTCTCCTTGAGTTCTAGTACTTTTTAAAGTCCATGGAATAATTTAAATAATTATCTCGAGAATTAGAACAAGTCGGGCAGTCGTTGACGGAGTTCAATTGAACCAGAACAATTGTAAAATATCAACACTAATTATTTCCGTAATTTCTACTGGATTTTCAGGAAGTGAATAATTTTTTATGCTC